CCTTGACTCTTTTCCTCACATTTAAGGATGAGGCTTGAAAACAGGATAAGCCTCTGTTTGTGTGGGTAGAGCATGTGTGCCGAAAGGCAGGCTTGGTGTCAGGCAGGGATACAACAGGGATGAATCTGTAAGGTCTTCTTTTTTGTGCTGGTACATCTCTCTAGAGAGTTACCTTCCTATTTCAAACTAGATTGGTGGATGAGATCTAGAAGCTTCTTGGTTCTTTTTAAAGACTTTCAAACAAACCTTTTACTGTGTTTCATTCATTGTTGCCACCTGCAGAGTCCCTAGTGCCTCTAATTTCTAAGCTTTCCTAGGCTGTAGTACAATTTCGCTTGGCTCTTGTTGACTTGCTCATAGGCCCACCGGCACCCCCTCCCATGCAAAAACACATATGCACCTGCATGCTCACGTGTGCACACAAGCACAGCATCACCAGGAGGCCCAGAGCTTTCTCCATTCCTATAAAGCAGTSGTCACTCATTCAATCATTTTCCTGTTTGTGAACTTTTTGATATCAGCTGTCTGCCTTTGTATCCCTTCCTTGTCTCTTGCTCTTGTGAGTTTATTCTTCTTTTCTCCTTTACTGTCTTTAGCAGGGTCCTAATAGGGGGTGGAAATAAACAAATATATTTACTCAGATAAACTATATTAAATCTTTCTCCATCTACAACTTTCTCTGCCTTGGTGTTTTAACTAATTTGGGAAGTCATGACTTCATGATTTTGTCTCTCCATTCCAAGACATTTTGGCAAGAAAATTTTAATCTCAAGTAATTGATAATTTAATTTAAATGTGTGTGTGTGTGTGTGTGTGTGTGTGTGTGTGCTAGGGATTGAACCCAGGAGTGCTTAACCTCTGAGGCACATCCCCAGCCCCCCCCTTTTTTTATTTTGAGTTGCTTAGGACCTCGATAAATTGCTGAAGCTAGCTTTGAATTTGTGATCATCCTGCCTCAGCCTTTTGAACCACTGAGATTACAGGTGTATACCACCATATCCAGCTTTACTTACTTTTTTAATGAGAGACTTCTTTCTGTGTGACTATTAATATTTGTCTTCACGTATGTTTGTACTCAAACTAGCTTGTAAATGACTGTGTCCCATTCACTCTGATCAGCTTTCTCCATTTCAGTCTCTCTGTTCACCTCAATGATTGCTTCTTTCTCTCTGTTACAATTCTGTAGTGGTTCTGCCTCTTATGCTGGCTGATGCCTCAACTCTAATATTGCAAAAGCTGGCATCAAGTTTACCTAAAGAATAAAGTAGCACATTTTTACTGGTTCAATAGGTTACTTACAAAGGCAAGTAACAGTTTTTCACAGAGAGAAAAGTCTTTAGTGCTTGTAGGACCTTTTATGAGCTGCTGAATGGTTGTGGTAGACAGGATAGTGATAATACAATATTATCAAGGGAGTATTTATATCAACATTATTGTATTTGTTAGGACTAAATACATTAGAATATTCTTCCTTCCACTCTTACATTGTTCTAAAAGAAGATTGGGGACATTGGTAAGATAGTAGTCATGAATTACTTCTGCTGATTATCATTTAGGTGTGTATTTCACAATAACAAAGTGAATATTATTATTATTACAAATGTGGGGAAAACAAAGCTCAGAGTTTCTCTAATAGCTCAAAATCCAGAGCTAGTAAGTGACAGAAATGAAATTTGAGCCAGTCTAGTCTGATCCTAAAGCTTGGGCTCATTTTGTGGCACTCCTGCCTCTATATTTTTCAATAAACACCTGCACAGTTTTTTTTAAAACAATACTTTTTTAGTTGTTGATAGAACTTTATTTATTTATTTTATTTTTTTAAAAAATATTTTTTAGTTGTTGACCTTTATTTATTTTATTTATTTGTATGTGATGTTGAGAATCGAACATAGTGCCTCACACATGCCAGGTAAGTGCGCTACTGCTGAGCCACAGCCCCAGTCCCTCACTTATATACAGTTTTAAGTGCTTTTCAGTCCCTGGGCAAAACCTATTTGTGTCCTCTAACTGCATTCATAAGCAGAAGTATAAAAGGATACCAAAGCAACTTCTAAAAGTCATATAAGTCAGGTAATAGATTTAATTTAAAATAGTAACACTTGGGTATTTAGACTTTGCCTTAAACAATGCTGCATTATCAATGGTCTAAGCAAATTTGAACCTGTAAATTTTATACACTCAAGTAACAATTATTTTTGAGTATGTTATGTTGTCAGATCTGAGTTGGTACCTGGAGGAACATAACTAAAATAAAATATTGTTCTTGTTCTTCCCCAAAACATGTAGACATGACATTTGTGTCCTAATTTATATTAAAAATACAGGCACTTGATATTTGAGAACAAATACTTTTATTACTCAGTGGCTGAGGCAAAGTTACATATGAAAAATGCTTGCAACACAACACAACTCATCTAAGTGTCTAATCAATTATCAGAGTCAGCAAATTCTCTCTRCATTTGGAGTAGGAGGTCAAAGGAAACAGGAGGAGAAACTACAAATGTTTGTTGAGTTCCTACCCCATGAAACCGTAGTTTAGGTGGTCTGGAAACACATCATTGAATGAGAAATTCATGGCTAATTGGCCTGGCTTTGAATATTGYATTGGATTTGCATGGAGAGAGAGAAAAGATACATTCCAGGCATATGGATTACAATAGTGACAGAAGTGATCCCTCTGGCACTTAGAAGGGTGAAGGGAATGACCTGATTAAATTTGGCATTCATGCAGTGTTAGCTTTCCATGGCTGTAACCAAAATACCTAACCAGAATAACTTTTTGAAGAAAAAATTTACCTTGAACTCAGTTTCACAGGTTCAGTTTCATCGCTCTGGGTTCAAGATGAGGCAAAACATCATGGTGGTGAAAGAAGATGGGGGAGGAAAGTTGTTCAGTCAGGACAGTCAGAAAGCAGGAGCAGATGAGAGAGAGAGAGAGAGAGAGAGAGAGAGAGAGAGAGAGAGAGAGAAAAGGAATCCAGGGGACAAGATGTAATCTCCAAGGGCAGCACCCACCCCCATACTTACTTCCATCAAATGAATTAATCAGCTGATTAGATTACAGCTCTCATAATCTAAKCCTTTCATCTCTGATCATTCCTGCATTAACACAGTGGCTTTGGGGGGACACTTCACAGCCAATCCATGCCACATGCTAAGGAAAATCAGAGAATATATTTGAACTGCAAAGAGGGGCAAGAGACAACAAGAAAGGAAAACAGCACATTGCAGTTAATTGCCACATAAATATTTCCCCATTCAACACAATTACTATTATAACCTTCATAAATGTAATATACCTTATTTTCGTTTGTTAGCTTGTTTTATTTACTTCACAAGTATCCTTTGGACTTGGGGAAGAAAAGAGAAATTGGGATGGCTTGTGTTTTATATAAAATATAGGAGGGAAAAGTGGTGAGTGATTTATCCAAGTTCTGGCAACTGAAGAAGTTTCCTTTATTCCCCCTTCTTCGTCTCTAGAACAAAAGAGGGCTGGCTGGTTACTTTGTAGGACTTGAGGTGATCTTCATTTGAAAGAATCTCTTAAGCTCCACTGTGGTAAGATGTAGCTTTGGRATTTCAAGATTTCTCTTGTGACTATGGATTGACCTAAGTAGGAGAGAGATTTCTGGGACATGCTTGCCAATGGAGGGCAGTGGGTCATTGTCTTAAGAGAGCACAGTAGTGWTGAGGGAATGACACTACAGTCAATTGGTATCCTACTTCGTGTTTAGTAAATAACTTTGCACCAAGTTCTCAAGTTCCACCTCTTGGTTGAGAAAGATGCTAGAAAAAGAGCCCAGGCCGCCAAGGAGTCAGTGTAGGCTGTCCCAGGCACGGAAGCTTCATCAGCTGAGCAAATGGAATATGGCCTTGCATTTTGGTTTCACGATGACTAAGCTGACCGGGTTGGCAGGCTGCAGAGTTTCTTCTTTGTCCTTGCACATTTTATGCTTGACAAGATGCTTAAGCAAATAGAATAGGCAACCGCTAGGAGGTACCCGAGATATGTGTTTGCGGTTCCGAAGAGAAGAAATGGCCAATACTGGCTCTCTGGGCAAGGCAGGTCCAGGCGAGAGGCACTCTTCCAAGGTCTAGGGAGCCGTAAAGCTTATTCGGGGAGCGAGAAGCACTGCTAAGAATAAACGGTCCTTTAATCTACAAGACYGAGGAAGGGAACCCTCCTCCGAGGCATTTCACATCCGAGGTCTGCGTGCTAGGGCACCAGCCGCCTGCTTATCTGAATGCAGCAATGTCTTTCCCTGCAGGGCCGAGGCGAGCACCGGGTGTGCACGCACCTCCATATGCGCGCGCTCGCTCGCGCCCGTGAGCATCGGGAGTGGGGAGTGTGTCTTCTTGTGTGTGTGTGTGTGTGTGTGTGTGTGTGTGTGTCCCCGCGCGCAAGCGCGCACGGAAATTGGGATGTCTGCTAGATCTGCCGCTACGGGACCGGTTAATGGGGTTAGGGGCCCAGGAAGGAATAAATCTCCGCTGGCTTCCGCGCGACTCGCTGCGGGTCAATAACCAACCACTTACAGGAGGGTGACAGCAGCAGCCCCGACCCACTAGCCGCGCATCGAAGGGCTGGGAATGTCAGCCAGTTTCTGCCACACTCGGRGAATATATATGTATTTTTAAGGGAGCTGCTGTTTTTATTGTCTGCCTCTATCTCCAGAGAACAAGGGCAAGAGAGAAGGGTGCGCGCGCTGGGCGAGCTTCGCGGATCTGAACTGGTCGAAGGAGGCAATTTTGCGGGTGGGGGAGGGCGGGGGAGACCTTGATTTCCACCAATCCCGGGGCGTTTGTCTGCGAAGTCCGGGGCGCAGCGGAAGGCTGCGGCGCGCGGCTGAATTAACTGATGAGACCGAGTTCTTTTCTTCTCCGGGAGGGGTGGGGAGCGAGGGTCCTGGCGGGTGAGGCCGAGAAGCCAGGGGCAGGATAGCGGTCCCGGGCCGAGGTGGAAATTTCCAAGGACTTGGCGCGGCGCGGAGAGCGCGTCTGGGGGGGTGCCTGGCGGCGCAGCAGCGCAGGAGGCGGGGAGAGGCGGCGAAGGGCGAAGGAGCATCTCTCAGAAGGGGACGCCGCTGCGAGCMAAATGTCTGAGAGCCAGCCGCGCCTTTTCTCGGACCCTCGCGGAGGGCTACTGTGATGCTATAGAACTGGTAGGAGCGACTCGCTGCCGCCGCTCTCTCGGTTCTTGGAGACCCCCAGCGCCCGCCTTCTGCAGGGAACGACCATGACTGTAGCTCGTGACTTATCTGCCGGCCACTTCCCGTAGAAAGAAATACTGGAAAAAGTTGCATTATCAGAAATCCGTGTGCTGACCTTTGGGGCTGTGGGGGCCGAAGCAGTGTGCGTGCCTGTGCAAGCAAGAAAGCAAAAGGTGTGTGTGTATGGGGGGCCGCGGTGGGGGCACCCTCCGCTGCCACTGTRCCTAACGTTATACTGAGGCTCCGGCCCCCATCCTTGGGACGCCGGGGCTGCGATGAACCCCTGCGGGCAGGCCCGGCGACACACGTCCAGAGGGGCCATGGCCATACTGGCGTGGAAGTTCCCGCGTACCCGGCTGCCGGTGGGAGCCAGTGCCCTCTGCGTTGTGGTCCTCTGTTGGCTCTACATCTTCCCAGTCTACCGGCTGCCCAACGAAAAGGAGATCGTGCAGGGGGTGCTGCAACAGGGCACAGCGTGGAGGAGGAACCAGACAGCAGCCAGAGTCTTCAGGTACTCCTGCCCTTGGGGCTCCTCCCCTCTAGCGTCCTTTCCTCCCGGTGCGCTGAGGACAGGGTCCCCGACAAGGACCGTCTGGCAGAGGCTTCCCTTTCATCCAGGCTTTCTTGTTCCAATCCCCTTTGTGCTGTTCCCGACTTGGAGACTAGGTAGGGTCTATTTCCCACCCCTTACCCCAAGAGAGATACAGACACCTGCTTTGCCTAKGTAAAGACTATACTCATTTCTTCCCAAGACTGAGTTGTAACAATTGCCCATAACTGGTGGGATAACTTAGTCCTTTGTACTTAATAAGAATTTATTTCTTGGGCTCTGAAGATATTTGAAGCTAAAGCGAACTAGAAGCAGGTAAGAAGTGTCTTCCCAAGGTTAGGTGAGCAATTCGTGGCATAAATCAATGCAGAGTGATGGGCAAACCCTGGACAGTGAAAACATGGACACCCACTAGGTTCCCCTTTCTTTGCGCAGTGTACCCACGGCAAATACAGAGCACTTGCKGACCTCCTACTAAGCCAGAACTGTGCAATTGTTATGTTGAAATCTCAACAACTTTCTAAATAACAGATATTTTCACCTCTTATGGAGACCACAAACTGATTCGTTGGAAGGATGAGTTACCCAAGGTCATTATCTTTGAAGAGTGAGTGCTGAAATTTTCAGTACTTTAAAGCTTCAAAGCTCCCAGCTCCTTTTCTTGGCTYAGACATGTGGATACTTCTGGAAGATGGGAGATGTACTTTAGATAGGGACTTGAAATCAGAAAACAAAAGACCAAACCAGGTTGGAAATCAGCACTCTGTGTGCCTAGTAGTTTCCCCTCCTTTGGGGGAATTTTAGTGTAAGCCTCTGAAAATAAGTTCCTGGCAGCAGGAATAATGTAGCTAGCTAGATGAAAGAAAAGACAGAGCTGCCTGCTTCTGCCTTCCCCAGCAGAGGGAACAAACTGCTTCAGTCACTGGGAGGGGTCCCTTTCCCCTTCAGTCCCTAGGGCTGAAGATGCTGAAGTTGGCTCTTCTGATTGTGCGGGTCTGAGTGAGGAGGGCTTTCCTCTGCTCTTCAGAGGATGGTTCTAGCCAGGTGAGAGCCAATGTAAACATTTTTCACTGCATTACTTACAAATGTCCAGAAGCGTCTATTCATTTAAAAAAAAAAAACTTGTACAATATATGGTTTCTCTCTGTCTCAGGCCGGCTCCTGGAAAGGTCAGAGAGATGATATAGCCATTTCTTCCAGAGGAAGGCAACTGAGTTTTCCTTAAATGGGAAGGAAGACTCCTTTCCCTTTGTAACTTTACCATCATTAAGTTTTAAAAAATAACCCCACTCTCCTTAAAAGTACATCAGGGTTAATTTTCTCTCGCCTTCACAAGATTGATTGTTGGACTGAGAAGCAGGCAAAAGGTATAGCACCTAGCAATTCTTTTCTCTGAAGACAGGAAGCACTTTATTCCAAGTAATATACAGAAATGAGTTAAGAACTTCCCATTGGTTTGCAATGAAAGGGCCCATTTTCTTTATATATAGAAGGAGGAATAATGAAGCTCTGTTCGAGAATAGACTCTTTTTAGAGGACACAATTAAGTGGAAAAGGCTTCCTATTCTGATAAATACAGACTGATGGTTGCTGAGACACATTTGATCCTTGCTGTCTTTAGCCTGGAGTAATCTTCAGTGTTTGTCATTTAGTCTGGTTTCTAGATGCGGAGAATTACTTATTAAAATTCAACACTATAAAAACTACCTAAAAACATATCTCTCAAAATTAGTGTCTGTAAAACTATGAAAGAGACACTATTGCCTATTGGAAAGAATCTGAGCTTCAGGTTAGAATCCTGAATTTGTACATTGCCTGTGCCAGGACATGATAAAATGCAGAATATCTTTGGCAAGTTACTCTCTCTTTGAGTCTTAGCTTTGTTGTCTATAAAATAGGGATAATGACATCTGCCTTGCAGGGTTGTCATAAGGTTTAAAAAAAAAACCAATTGATGCCAAGTGTCCAGTACATTGTACCCAGAAAATGTTTGTCTTAATAATCATTAAAATTTCCAGTGTATGTTACAACCTAAATAAGGACATCTGGCCTTTTCATAAGAATTTGGAATATTTTGCCTGTCGAATTTATAGAGAAACAATATCTGTCCATACCTACCCTACCTAGTCACATCACTTAATTAACAGAGATAGGAGTTTTGAGAGATAAGTTTCATATTTGTTAAGTCAAACATTTGTTTTACTTTGAATACTTATTGAGATTCATTCTTTTAAACAGCTGAATTACTAGCATATGAGTAGTAGTATATATCTATTAAGTATCACACAGGTCAGCCAGAAGCATTTATTATATTAAGGTATAACTTTGGCAAATGAGTATCTTTCTCTAGTTTGAAATATCTGCACAAATAGAAATATATGTAAACAAATATACAATGTGTATATGTGGAGATAGATGAACATTTATTTATAAATTGTGCAATGATGTCATGTGTATGTACACATATATAGGTGTGTGGATGTAAACACACACACAGAAATATTTCAGCTACTCCATCAGTGTAAGTGATTAGAACATGCTACGTATGTGTTAGGCCGGGAGGATAGGAGTGTATGGGATGGAAGACTGCCCCCACTAAGTGAGCTTCGGTCTAACTAGGGGCTGACTGACAAAAACAAACAAACACGCATGGGAAGTTGAAGTATTGCTTAATGTTATCAAGACAAAAGAGTGTTTTTGCCAGGATTTCAGATTTAAATTTATAATTTTTTTTGCAGTGCTGGGGATCAGTACCCAGGGTCTCACACATGCTAGACAAGTGCTCTCTCCTTGAACTACACCCTAGCCCCTTCGGATTTCATTTTGCCATTTGTACTTCCATTTAAATCTGTGATTTTCTTCTTCTTCTAGCCCAGAACCTATGTATTGACTTTTCAGATGAGAACCTAGCAGACTGCATAAGAAATGGCAGTAAGAAAGTGACAAAGCTGCAAGGGTTTGGAACTAGATAGGAAGTTTGCCTAGTATTCACAWAGTGATAGAAAGATTAAGGCATCAGATAACCCTAAAGCAAAGCTTTCATATCTCTTGTTGCTTCAGATCGAGTAGTTAGTCAAGTAGTGTGGGAAATGCCAAATCAAAGCAGCGTTTGCTTATCCCATTATACCCTTACCCATTTCTCCTCCTCAGAGAGGAACCTCAGCTTGAGTATATTTGCAAGGCTTTATTTTTGGCATCAGACATGGCAACAACAATGGCAACAGTGAAACCCACGAATGGTTAAGGACTATCTGTCTGGGACTGTAAGTGCTTATATGTATTGTCACATTTAATCTCCACAAGAACTTTGCATAAACGGGTATTATCCACATTTATAAAAGATAGACATGCCCTAGTCTCTGCCACCAAAGGATTTACAATAGTCCAATGAGATTTACTATAATCCCATATTGGGATTATATATTGGTTATACATTTAATCAAGTGGAAATAGGCCATCAAAGAAAGGCAACATGGCAGGGTGAAATACTTAGGGAACTGTCAGATCATGGTTGGATTTCTGGTCCTGTCCCTTTCTAGTTATATGATCATTGGTGAGTTCAACTCTCAGAGTGTGGATTTTCCATTTACAAAGTGGGTTTTGTAATAAAGCCACTTGAAAGCATACAGAAAGCACCTAGAGTGGTACTTGTCACATCTCTGTGTGATACAGGGCCATTGTAGCCATAGAAATAGTGCGCCAAGTGCAGGGCAAGTTCGTAGAACATGCCATTTAATTCTCCAGGGAAGGGAAATGAGAGTTCAGAGAGGAGGTGGTGTTTGTCCTAAGCCTTGTAAGGATAGTGTTAAGAGGTGAGGGTGAAAGGGTGTTCCAGGCAGAGAGAACAGCAAGGGTGAAGGCAGAGAGGTTTGGAAATGCTGACACGTTACCTGTGTGGAAAGTTATCAGGTCACCCATGGAAACCTTGGTAGAAAGGTGGTGGACTGGGAGGTAAGAAGAAGCCAGGTCCAGGTCCCAGTCTCTGAATGTATTTGAGTGATGGCTGATGAAAAATGGACTAAAATTCAACTATTCAGCGGGTACTGACTGTCAGCTGTCAGCAGGAACAGCACATTACTATTACCAGTAGATCTGGGGACAGGAAATTAGGGATAATTCAGGAAAATGATTTTTTAAAAAATTTTGTTAACTCAATGGGTGGTAACTGTGTCCAAATTCTCAACAAAATACTGCTGTAAGCTGTTCCGTCTTTAYATGGCTTCTTTTCTTTCCCTACTTTTCAATCCATGGATGTTAAAAGCTTCAGATGTTGTCACAGCTGCCCTGGTGGCAACAGAAGGGCATTAGGGGCAGACGGGGTGAGAGGTAGGTTCGAGGTAGGTGCAGCTTTCTGTGTATGTGAGCTGTAAATTTGGTGTTTCTCAGATAGAGATTTGTGGAGTTTACTTTGAAACAATAGATTAGGAAAACAACAATTTAAGAAGCTTTGATGTTTAAGAAAATTAGCTATGATTATGTTGCATATTTACAAATGTGGAAAAAAAACTTTACCAAGGATCATAATAGCACAAATCAATCAGTGACATTTATAGGACATAAAATGTGTCAGGCCTACTTCTAATCACTTAAACATGTTTTCTTCTGTCCCCAGAGCAGTTCTATGATGTAGGTTTATGGTATGTTCCTTGTTATAAATGAGGATGTGGAAGTTCAGAGATCCATGAACCAAATGATGGAGTTGGGTTTCCAGCCTGGAGCTATTCTATTTAAACCTCATGTTTGCTCCCTGATAATCTTGGGTAAATGACACATTGTTGCACGTATCATATATGATCTGGCCCTCATTTCTTTTTCTCCGACATCATCTTTCATCACTTTTCTTTTCTGTACTTTAGTAATATCAGATTCACTATAGTTCCTGAAATAGGCCAGACTGTCTTGATTTTGCTCATTTCCTGGAATTCCTTCACTCCAAGGCCACTTTTTCCTGCCCTTCCCCT